TGTGCCCATATTTAAGAAAACATGTAAGTGATTACAACCGAACAGTGTTGTTTTATCAACAATGACGAAATTATTCTGTTGATGCTCCTTTTTTTCATGACAATAATGAGAACTGATGACCTAAACATGGATCTTTGACGAAAGCATGACGACTCATGGGTGTGTTTTCGTTGACGGGATGAGACTGGTTGAAAATGTTAGGGGGTGGTCTGTCAGATGTTTAAATACATCATTTACCTATAATCTGTTGTGCAGTGGTGCACATTCTGCAAATATTTCATTGCATACCGTTTATTTTTGGATAAAGACCCAGATGAAAAGGTACATAGATCTTTGAATATTTCTCCCTCACAGCTTTTGTTTCTATCTATTTAAATATGATAAATGGTAAATGTTTCCTTGTATTGTCATTAAAACATTTTCTATGTTTCCTTTGAATATTTCAACATTTTTTTTAACATACTCTTGAATTTTACGTCCGGATTGTCAAGGCATTATAAAGCAATTATGTAGGTTCTTTGTGTAATTGTTTATATCAGACCCCTATGAATTGTAATCTACTTTAATCTACCCTGAGCAGCAGTAACCAAGGGGCACATTCTGAGAAATAAAGGCAAACTTGCCAACATAGAAAGATGTTTTTGTTTTTAGCTTTTTTGGAGCAATGAAGATTTTATTGATCTCTGCGTAATGCATATTTCATAGTAGATCAGGAAGAATTTGCTTTTGAATGGAAATCTTGTGTTTAAAACCATTCCTTTATTGTAAATTTTGTCAGCTTGTCTGTCTGCTATTTTAACCAAATGATGTGTTGAACTAGATCTGCTATTTTCACAACTTTTGTGAGACATGTTTTTATAAACTAGGGCATTAATTCATAAAAGTTATTTGAATTCTATAAATCAAAACCTAAATATTTCTTAGAACTCTCAAGTAAAATGAGATTTGATTAATACCTATACATATAGTTTTAGGGATTGCTAATAATAATACAAAAAAGTATAAAATACATTACCTTTCCTACAGTAAATAACTGCACACATACAATTGGTTCCTTTTTTAAGTGCATGAAATACTGCTGGGCGATTTTTTCCAAAAAAATAAAAATTGAGATATTTTCTAAACTAAAACTGAGATTATTCTCTGCTGTTATGCTGAGGCCAATGGTTGCTCCAGGCTTCCATTGTTTTTATGGTCTTGATTGCTCCATTGTCCATTGTTGCAGATTTTTCTGTTACATAGAAAAAATGCTTACTTAGAAGTCGCATGCATGGATCTGAGCACTACCTGCAACTCTTTCCTCCCTTCTGCTGCAATCCTACTTTGAGCGCATCAAGACCACCTAAAGGACTGGATGGAGGTTGTGTCTTACTCTTATAAAGAATAATAAGGCCAAACTACCTCTGCAATTTGGAAATATAATTTCCCATTTAGATTGAATTGAAAATGCAATTAATTGTCCAGTCCTAGCATAAACAGCAATAAAAAGTTATAGATCCTAATCAAGTTTTACAGTAAATTTAGTCAATGCTGTTATGGTCTGTAACTATACAACTCTGCTTAGGCTTGTTATTCAAACATGTATGTGAAGCATGTTAAATTAGTCTCAAGTGTTTTTCTTCCCTTACATAATTGAATCCGCTTCCTGAAAAGTATCCAGTCCTGTAGATTAACTTAATCTAGCATCACAACTTCAGCCAGAGTGTTTTCATAATGATTCCTTGTCCCTAAACTGAGAAAGAACCATAAACATATAATGAGAAAGCATGCGTCGCCCATGCTGCCTGCATTAGTGTTCAAAAGGCCACAGTTAAAATGCCTGCTGAGCAGAAACTGAGTCTTAATGTAAAGTGTTTGATAAAAGATAACAAGTAGCACAGATGGGAACGAGGGAAGAGAGTATTTTAAATAGAAGTCAGCTTAGACAGGCTAAACTTTCACTCATAACATAGAGAATGTTACGATGTGGAATAAAAGCAACAGGAACAGAGAGTCCCAGCTTTATACAAACCTGCTGCTCGTATTTCTGTCTCAGTGCATCAAGCTGCTGAGAGAACTCCTTGGCCTGTTTCTCTCTTAGGGTTTTGGAGCGGATCAGGTCCTCTTCTACCTTCTCCATCTGGGGGGAAACAAGATTGCAACAATAAAAGAGAAAAGTCTAAATCTTTTCACAGTAAATCATAAAATTCCATCAAAATTCTAATGTAAATTCTGACATTGAAAATTTACTGCAACTAATAGGAAGCAGATTCATTAAGTTCTCAACTTTAAAACTCCCAAAAAATTTCATTTGATGATCCGATTTTTTTTTATCATATGCAAAAGAAGCATTTCTAAAATCTTTTTTTTCTCCTGGATTTAAAATTGAATTAATGTTTCATTAAAAAAGCTTTAATTACCAACATGATACAGAATAAAACTTGATTGTTTACTCAACCTAATAAAAGCAGAAGCAGTATGAACACCAAATTATCAATACATCAATAATAAAACAAGGATGTTTTTAAAGGTGCATTATGGGGGTTAATTTTTTTTTTCCTTTTTACATGTTATTAGAACAGTTTTCTCTATTTGCTCCATCAACCAGTTCATGAGAGACTGATCGTGGCCGAACTCTCTGGGTGCTACAAATAATGCCCTCCTGTTTACCTGCCTACTCTGTTCACTCTCCGCCGCTGAGAACAGGGGCGACGGTTTGTGAATATTGATCACAACAGACCAGCAACAAGTACAACTCCAACCCCATCACAGTCTCCACACAAGAGTAAGAAAATAAAAGCTTTCTAGTTCAACCATAAACACCAAACTGAAATCTGATGAGCAACGAAATAAGACAAGATTAGAGAGGAAGCTTTTAACAAGGAGGGAACTGGAATGAAGGATACACAGTTTGCTCTCTTTTTGCTATAAAGGTAAGATCCTCCATTTTAAACAACTTTTATAGTTATACCTTTCTTACTTTTGAAGACATTAGACCTCTAAATAAAAAAAAACCTGTCCAGTCTTTGTGCAATGCAGGGATTTTTTCTTTTAATAAAAAAAAGAAAAATGAAAATCTAAAAGACTCATATCTAAACAGATAAACAAGGACAGGCCTGCTAGGAGCATTATGAGTAATATACAGCACCATTCAGACCAGGTAATTGGGGCTAGACAATTGATCAATTCACCTAATTTGAGGTTTATGAAGATTACATTTTTAGATAATCTGGATTGTATTCTCTAATCCACTCCTTGGGCTTCCATACCTCAGTGTGAGATCAATCCATCGCTTTTTGTTCTTAGATGTTTACTCATAGGGGAGTGGCGGCCTAGTGGTTACAGCATAGGGCTTGGAATCCTGAGGTTGTGAGTTTGAAACCCACTACCACAGACTGCCACTCTGGCTCTATGTGAAAGATCCTTAAACCCAGATTGCTCCCCAGACGCCCAACAATTTAAGCCCACTGCCCCCAAAAGGCCGGAATTAAAGCAAAAGGAAAACTCCTCAAAGGGAAAACAAAAAAAGTTGAATAATAAAAAAATAATTTTAATAAAAACGAAAAACCAACCGCAAACGTAAAGTTGGTCCAATTTCAATGGTTTGTGGGAAAAGAATATTTTACAGCATGTTTCACAGCTTAAGTTCCATTGCTGTTTAAATTAAGTTCACCTCTTAAAGGGGATGACTGTGATAAAAGCTAATTTTTGAAAGCAGTCTATGTCATTGGTTACTTTGGTCATACAGGCCTTAAATCACTGTCTTCTCTAGATTTATCCTTCAGCTTAAAAGTTGGATATAAGAACTGGAATTATGCCCCAGAACTCTCCCATCATTTGCAGGCTCCTGATAAGCTCCCCAGGTTTGATTTATATAGATAATAATAAACATACAATCTTTTTTCTTGTTATAAACATATCCTTTAAGTAACACTCTATTCTACAACCAGAATTTGCCTTAAAACCTTTCCTGTCAGCAACTAATAACCAAGTTAGTAAAAAAAAAACAAAAAACATTTTTAACAAGTTTATCAGTTTTATGTTTTGTTCAGATTTTTATTTTGTAATAACAATGTCCCTATTCATGAATATTGTTACTCTAATGCATATTTTATTCTGTTTTAGCCCATCTGCAATGTCAAGATTGTAGTAAATAATAATAAGCGGAGCGTATTATTATTAATGCAATTGATGATTCTTTCTTTAACTGTTCAATAATTTAAAAAGAAAAACTTTCTCTAAATCCCAAGAATTTGACAGAGGCCTTTTGATGCTTCTTTTATTATGTAATAGAGATTTCTCAACAGAAAGTTTGTATTTTATTGACGAAGTAATGAGAGCTTGATTTATGAATGGTAACCAGGTTCAACATTAAACCGTGTGGAATAAATCTAAGACTGTCCTTTTATTTTACCTTCCTCACAGCCGGGAGATTTCATACTTTTGTTCAGGTGATGAAAAGTAACAACAGAAGATGAAATGTACAGAAATATCTCAGTTATGCTGTCTGTAAGACCTGCAAAATCCTCCTTAAAGTGTTTTTTATTAATCTGTTAAGGATTTTAAAATGTCTTTGAACTCTAATCTCAGCATAGTTTTGATTCCATCCAAAGATGCTTCTTCTTCCCCCAAATTAGGACAGAATCTTCCCTTTAACTGCAGTCTAAATACAAACGGCTGATTTCCTTTCTAAAACAGAGAAAGGAGTGACACAGATAATCTATTTAGATATCACACCATCTGCAAAAAGAGACAGCAAAGACGATGAAAGAAATGACAAGAGGATGAGAAAAGAGTAAAAAAAAAAAAATTCGTTTGAAGTACTTTCCACAACATTAAAGCCTTAGCAGAAGGATGCACAAGCGGTGTGGGGAGGAGGAAGAGGAGGAAAGAGCGAACGAGGGAGAGAAGATGACAGGGATGCAGAGGAGACTGCTCAGTGCTCCCACGGCTTTGATGTGGGCTGAGGATAAAGTCAGATTGAAGATCGGGATGCCAGGGGCACAATGGGAAAAGAAGGAATGAGCTAGAGGATGGAAGGATGAGAGCAGCAGAAGGAGAAGGGAAAGTGCTGCATTTAAGAGGAGAGGAAAAAATAACAAGTCTTCCAGTGCATGCATTTAAAAATACTCATGTTGAAGCAATCCTTCAGAAAAAAAACAAAAAAAAACTCCTTTCATATGAATTCATCCAGTGCTACTTTACAAAACGAGAGGGAAAGAAATGATGGCATAATTAATTTCTTTAAATTAAGTCTTAGGAAACAAAGGCTGTTTCTTGAGCCCAGATTCGTGCATAAACTCGACACCCACACAATCTCTCATATTCCTACACCCTGTGTGCCCCCGAACGCACCGACTGAGTTTAAAACTTCACCAATCAGCAACTTAAAACTTGCAAATCTCTTTAACATGGAGCACTTTGAAACATTTAGGACCACACACAGCACAGCTAGACTTGTTCAACAAAAAGAAAACGCCTATAGCTATAGACTGCATCACAAGTTGTACACAGAGTGCATATTGATTAGGAAACTTTTCCAATAAGCTGCAGCCCACGCAGCGCCAGCTGCTGATGGTGAGGCTCCGCTGCCAGAGTAATTAGTCTATCTGCTTATAGCGGCGGCCCATTCTCCACTGGAACCGGGGCGCCCGGTGTCCTGCCCACTTACAACCTGTGAGGTTATTAAGCGTTAGGGGAGAAATTAAAGATGAATGAGCAGGATTTTATTTCATTTCACTTATTCAGGCAAAGGGCCCAAGGGTGATTATGTTCTTGGCACTTCCATATAGATTTTTGTTCTTGTGTAAAGCTGTTAAAAGGTGAGGAGAATTTAACAATTTTACTGCAGAGATGTGTGTTTGTATAAATGCACAGAATGAAATAATTAAGCCAAGCTGTAATAAGACTTCCACAACTGGCCACATTTATTGGCGCAGCTGGTGAAGATGTGTAAAAACTCTGTTCAGCAATATTCATCTTTTTACTGCTGCAACATTAAGTTAACATGGGAACATTTGAAAACAGCCAACCCGTCATTTTCCTGCATAGATGAAGGAAAAAAAATAAGTATAACAAAAAAAATAGACATATATCTATTAACAAAAATAAAGGTTCCACAAACATCGGTTCCTTTCTGCCAGTGCTTCAGTTTGGCTCACAGTCCAATGCCTAATGTTCTACAGAGAGATGACCAGAGCTTTGTAGATCTTCCAAAGTGCTGCTTTTTGTCTAATTCTGTCTTTTTTATAGCTCACCTACCTGATTTCCTCAAGGATGCTACTTGGAGGTTGATATGGCAACAAAAATATACATTTTCTGTGTAAAGACACATGTCTGTACTGATTTAGTGATATTTCCATACCCAGGCAACAAGCTAACTTTTTGTGCTACTTGAACTCTAACAGTGCATTTAAAACATTCAAAAAATCTAGATATATATAAAATTGTCAACACTAAAACTAAATTGTGCTGTATCTTTATGTCTTCAATGTATGTTGTGTACTACATTGCCTATTCTTTTAATAGCAGCAATGTTTTGATGTCAGGATCTGTCTAGTTTAAACTTGTGTCCTTACTGTGTGACGCTGCTGCCTTTATACAGAAATATAAAGAGCCTTTGGCTAATTCTGTTTTTTCTAACTGGTGAACTGTCATGTCATATATTTTATTTAAATATCACTGTCACCTTAAAAAAAATCTTATCAAAACAAACAGGTCCCCTGGGCCTTTGGAAAAGAAAGAAACCTGTAACACCATAGATCCAACAACACCTATGCAGGGACTGTGTCCTTTTCCATGTATTTATTCTTTGTTGCAATGCAAACCACATTTTCGTTAGATTTGACCAATGAAACAGTTCTGGTTAAAGTCACAGTAAATAAGTAAACATCAAAATAATTAGTTGGCACAAATATCCACTAATGGTTGATATGGAGACTTGGTGACCCCTCCTTTGGGTCTTCTTAACATACCAAACCAATCAGCAGTCTGTATGTGATGAAGGTTCTCATAACTTAAAAATGTAAAGTATAGAAAAAAGGCAAATTCTTTTAGGCTGCTTTTCTCCCACGTTTTCATCAAGGATGCCAATCAATTCTGCCCTTCAATAAGCATTGCTGATTTTCTACATGTGCAAAGATGTATAGTTTTTGATTTAATAGTTTTATTCAGACCTGGAGTTTCATGTCAGCATAGGCCTTCTCAGAGCTGAGCTCCACCTGTTTCTTGAACTGCTCCAGTGCCAAATCGGCCTGCTGGATCTGCTGTCTTTGGCTCTGTCTCGCCCTGTCCAGCTGGCTCTCCATCTCCCTTCAAAGCAAGCATAAGAACAAAGGAATGAATACAGTTCACTCGAGCAAAGACTTTCAGCTGCAGAAAAGAGGAGGGAAAATGTACAAAACTAAAGTATATACTGACTCCATATCAGGGTATAAATTGTGATGCAAAAGGTTGTTGGTTTGCAGAAAGGAGTATCGAGATAGCAAGAAAAATGACATAAATCCTAATTCTGCCATTAAAATGAAAGATAACAAAGAGCAGTTTACTATTAGATTTCGTTGGAAAACTAACTTTCCAAAATTTGGCCAGAAAGATTTAGAAAAAAACTGTCATAATATTTACTGGATCTAAGACAAAGAGGATTTGATCTATAGCCCTACCCATAAATACCCTGTATAGGTTATTTATCATGAGATCCTTACTGTACCTGCTTTACAAAATTCTGATTAAGCCTCGCTAATTCAAAACAAAATATTAGTTATCAGCCATGCAAATATGATTACTGGCACAAACCAACCGTTATGGCAGGAGACTCAATCCTGTTAGGGTTTTTAATAAATGTCCTTCGTCTTCTTCATAACAGATTTGTTACATTTAAAGTTTTATGTAAATTGTGTAAAATGTATTCTGTAATAAATGCGTACTGCATTATCTTTCACTTGTTTCATAAACATGTGTGTCTTCCAAGCTGGTTGGCTGTTACTGCTGCCAAATGTCAGGGCACAGAGTTGTGAGAAGGAAAGTATTGACAGGCAGACTGAGGGGGACAGCATCGCACTGAGACCTGTCAGAGTGCAGCCAGGATGCCCAGCCTCCAAATCACATACAGGAGCAAGTGAGCAGCTGTCAAGCTCAATAACACAGGGGGAGATGAGGTGGATGGATAGACGGATGGATGACAGAGGTAGATGTGAAGGTTGGAATGGAAGGTGATTTATTTTTGTATCCAGTCATCTATTCCAACATCCCTCCCCTCCTCCATGGATTGTAAAAGAGTGGGAGGGGGGGTTAACTTTACCCCGGCTGACATCGGAGCAATCGACAGGATGCACCCTTGACTGATCAGTCAGTCACAGAGCTGAAATGCTCGCAACTAGACCTATAGTCAATTCCAACCCTTCAATTAACCCACATTTCTGCAGAAATATTGAACCTTTCTGCTGCAGACCAGAAGTAGGGCTCCTTGCAAAATGTATGCTAAATAAAATGCAAAGGCATCAAATTAAAGTTAGTGAAACATTTTTACAAACCTGTAATGAGACACAGTCTACATTAAGATCAGGAGCGTAAAAAATAAAATAAAATGCAGGGTGAACTTGTACAGTCGGTCAGGTTTGGAGGGTGAAAGCTGCATCTATTAGGTCCCATTTTTGAAAGAATTACAGCTGGTAAAATGCAATATTGTCATTGTGATATCTACTACAAATACTATTACACCACTCCAAGACAAACCCTCAGGTAAGCCTATCTAACCAAGCAAAAAGAAAAAAAAAAGATAAAATAAAGTGGGAGATGTATTCCACGCCAGCTCATTGCTCTCACAATCAGATACATTTTTTTTTCTTTTGCGTAATTTGAAAACAAAAAAAAGGGGGTTGAAAATATACTGCTCATGTTTCACAGCTCATTGTTCCTCCAGATGGAAAGTTTTGAGTCCAATTTAAATCAATGCTAGTTGGGAGATAATTTAAGCCATTCATTCAGCTTATACTGAAGACAGGGTGTTAATTATCCACTGTGTCACATGGTTAGAACGTTCTTAATATCGTTTACTTTTCACTTTTAGGAGGAAATTATACAGACAAAAAAAAAAAAAAAAACTCTTTAAGTTTTATAAGGGTTATGTTTGTAATGTGCTACTAGCCATGTAGGGAACACATGTGACCAGAACCGAACACTTTGATCTCCTTGCAAAAGCTGTATAGGGTGGAGAACTAACCCCCTTGTTCCACTGGATGTGGAACTGGTGAGAGAGCACTGTGCCTTCGCAGCTGATCGCTGCTAGATGTGCCCGGCCTTCGCCGCTTCACCAAAACACGCGGTTTTTGTATTTTTTCGAGGGTTTGTAAACGATCTTTTTTTTATTAAGCCTTCAGAGTGGGAAGATTTTGAAACACAGTTTTTGCGGTTCCATCTTTAAGCTCTAACCACATTTTTTTTCTTACACGCATGCGTCATAGCGTCGCCTCTAAACACGCATTCGCGACACAGTATCCCAACAACAATGGCGCCGTACTGTGTTGAATGGTTGCTGCTCATGCTACTCACCCTGCTGTCGGGCTTACAACAGAATCTTCTTCTTCTGGAATATCTCCAGGAAGAACAGAGCAATATCGACGACATAGTTCAGCACCTGAATTTGACTGAACCACGAAAAGGGACTAAAACATATCTTTAAAAAACCTCTTTTATTTGACAATCTTTTACTAAAACATGGTTTGATGAGCAGAATGACACCTCAGTATTTCAGTGCAAATGCATCTATCAGCCTGCAGCCTATTTTCACTGAATTGACTTTGGGTCAGAAGTTCGTCATTGATGTTAAATGAGTCTGACCTATCAAACAATTGAAGCCTTATATTCAAGATGAATACTCAGAAGCAACCGCATCCAGCTCAACTCAGACCCTAATGGCACCTCCACGTAAGGTAGAAAAAAGTAGAAAAAAAATTCGGCAAGCTAGGTGAATGAGCAGAGAAGTGCTGTAGTTTTAGGTTTTGGCCACATAGGGCAGTCATTTTCTCTTTAATAATATATCTCTTAATTATATTTGTTGGTTCTTTGGTGTAGGATTTAATCTAGACAGGTGAGTGTGTCCTTTTTTAACAGGCAAGTCCATCACTTCTCAATCTGCTGGTCCATATGGGTCTGCTATTAGGTCTATTGTCTCTAGTGCCTACAACTTACACAGTGTTGCCTTAAGGAAGCTTAATACAGATGCAAGCTGCAATTTTATGATTTTAATTTGTATAGCCAATAACGAAATATAAAGAAGTGGAACAATGCGGTAGTAATGTGACAAAATGGGTGGAATACCTTTACAAGGTACTGTGACATTAAAAGTATGCAGGAAAAAATCCAATGTGCCCCTATGTAGAAAACAAAGTTTTTAAAGAAATGAATGTTTTCCAAATATAAAAGCAATGGTAAAGCATAAACAGTAACAGAATGAAACTAACAACACAGACCAAGAACAAAAGCGCCGGATTCAGAAAGGAATGTGCAGGCTTTCTCTCCTCTTTAAAGCGTTCTGTCTCTTAGTAATTTTGGTTTCTCTCATGTTGGACATCAAACAACAAAGAGGCCGTTTTTTTCCTTTCCCGTTTTTGTGTACTCTGTAATTATTAATCAAACTCGCTGCATGACTGCCTCTCGGACTCAGTCAGACACAAAAGTATTTGTGGCGAGAGGCTAAGAAGGAAAGAGAAAGGAGAACAGGAAACAGAGAGGATGTCACAGAAATAGCTAACTTCCAAAGAATTGCAAATAAAAAAAGATGAGAATTTGTGTGTGTGCTTCACTTGAGAGAGGAGAGAGAATTCATGCGGGTCTATGGGTGTGTGCATGCAAGGGTGCATGGATCTTTGTTCATAAGGCACAGTCTCAAACTCTCTCTGAGATTCACAACTCAACTCAAAGAAAGCTCTACAGCTATGTTGGAACTAGCTGCTAGGCTTACAGCTCCTCAGCTACAGAGGGAAAAAGGAGGAAAAGAATCCACCGCAGCTAACTTTAAAATGAAACTTACAGTACGAGGATGTAAAGAAATGACTGTGAGAATGTGTGTGGTCACCGAAGTGGCAGACAGCGTGTCACCATCAATGACAGAGCAGAGCGATGAGGAAAAGGAAAAAAGGGAATCAGGGTGGGCTGGCAAGAAGTAGTGGAGAGGGACAGAGGAGCAGAGGGGTGGCAGCGCCAGGGCGGCCTGGTCGGCTTTAAATGGATATCTGGTCAGGAAAGTGGAAGGAGAGGAAGCTTAAATTAAAGACGTGCCTTCTCTAAAGAGGAAGTCCTCTCATTCCTCAGCAGCTGTTTTAAAGGAGGGAGCAGGGATTGTAGCTGATTTAGGTGAAGGAGCTTTTGCGATTCAGCCATCTTTGTTAGTGTATGCCATCTAATATGTAACAAAATAATACTAATAGAAAATTATGCCAGTTCCTATTGCGCCATGTCCATTTGTTTGGTTTGGCATGTGGGATATAAATACTGTAAAAACTGTTAAACAGGCAGCAGGGGCACAAAAGAAACAAGGAGAAGTGAGGATGGAGAGATAAAAGAAAGGGGACAGAAGGATAAAATAAAGTGAATAAAGAAGCTAGGCAATAGAGGACATGATGGACACAACAATGAAGGAAAGACTGAAGGTAGAAAGAGAAGGAAACGATAAAAGAATAAAGTGAAGGAAGGACACAAGCCACTAAAAAGGACCAAGAAAGAAAAGGACAAATGATAAGAAAGAAAAAAAAGAAAAGAAGGACACAAGAAAGAAAGGAAGAACATGGGCAATGCTGGAATAAAGGACAAATGAGAAGAAAATAAGGATGGAGAGAAAAGAAGTGGAAGAAGGGGATAAGAGATGAGGGAACTATGAGAGTAGAGACAAGGACTGGGAAGGGCATGGCCAATTGATGGAATAAGGAGAAAATCAGAGGAAGGCAATTAGAAAGGAAGGAAATAAGGAATGAGAGACAACAAAGAAATAATGCAACAAAGAACATGGTCAAGGGGAAAAGGAGGAGAAAAAAGTTAGAAAGGAGAGGAAACAAAAGGATGTAAGAACAACATAAGGGAATGGAGGGAGGACACAAAATGAAGGAAAGACTGAAGGATGATGGTAGAACACAAAAGGTAGAAAGAACACAAAATGAAAGGAGTCAAAGAAGGGTGGATGGAGACAATGAAATAAGAAAAGACAAGAAAGAAAGTGGGTAGGACACAAATAGGAAGGACACAGAAAGAAGCATTAAGGACACAATAAAGTAAAGAAAAAGGAACCAAAATAGAAGAAGAGAGCTGATTAAAATAGG